TGTAATTAACAAGGATAAAAATACTTTGCTTTTGTTTAATATTTTCTGGAGTTGTGCATTCCTCAGATCAGATGCTAGAAACCTCATTAAGTCTCACTCGTGTCCTCAAGGCCCACATGTTCTCCACAACCAGACCTAGTTATAGAATAAGGAGCCATTTTATCGTGATGCTCCCAGCCTGCCACAGCGACAGGCGGGCGCGGGGACGGGGAATGCGGCCAGAAGCAGGTGGGAGCTGAGGCACCTTTTCCTACATCCCTCTGCAAGGTGCCACCCTGTCTACTGACACCTAAACCTAACCCTCCCATCGGCCCGTGTTTAAGACTGGGCTTATCCTTTCGTTTATCTGCTACTCCTTTGGCAGGTCCAACGCTTTCCCCGGTCCATCACACCAGGGCTGCCGCTGCAGGAGGCACATCACTTAACCAGACCTCCTCCTCGCTCCCTCTACCACCATCAAAGCCTTGGCCAAGGTGATGATGTGCTCCTTGCCTCTCTGATCCCGGCTTTGGAGATGTGTCTGATCCCGGCTTTGGAGATGTGTCTGATCCCGGCTTTGGAGATTCGGTGTGGTTCTGACCATAAAAAGGTGTGAACAAAAATAAATAAAAATCCCCAGCCTCAGGGTAAGAAGAGGCTTCGTGACCCCGCTGGCCTCGGGGGCGGCGGGTGATGCTCAAGGCAAGTGATACTCAAGGAAAGCGAAGAACATCGGCCACCAGCATCCCACCACACACTCGCCGGCGTTAGCTCAGTCAACGCTTCAGCCGGGGAATGGAAAAGCAGAGAAGAAGGAAGGAAAAAAAACAAACCAACCCTCTCTGAAATTCAAGGCTTCATCTGCTGTGCTCTTCTTTGGCTTTGCTTTTGTTTTTACAAACGGGGCTCTTGGAAACCTTGGCAATCACTATTTTAAAGGGCTCCCCCCTCCCCCAGGCCTTTGTAAGGCTGTCGGGATCTACATGCCAGAAGCAGGATTAGCTGGCTTTCTCTCTTCCATCTTATGGTTTTATTATTCTGCACCTTTTGAGGGTACAGTTTATCCCGAGTAATTAAAACACAGTTAGCTGTACAAGTCCAAACCATAATGGAATAGCTTAGGTTTTATTTTTTTTAATCTCTTTTTTGTGTGCCCTCTTTTCCAGGAAGCCTGATACTATAGCTGGCTTATTTAAAACAGGAAACTCCCTTGAAATGTGCTGGTGTGGAAGTGATATTTTAGCAGAAATGTGGTATATTAGAGCCTTACAGTGGGGCTGGGCAGCGCCGCGCTCCCGACCTGCCTCCTCCCTGCACGGCCCTTCCCTCGGCATCACGACGACGTGGTTCATGTCTTCCCCCTACAGAAACCAAGTAGGAAAACTTTGCTGCGAGATGCCCGGCTCCAGCGCAAGGGCTGGACGGCTGCAGCATCTCCAGCGATGCCCGAAAAAGCTGCTCCTAATTTCACTTTTCCAACTGGGATGACTCCCGCACCGCAAGAATTAGGTACAGCCTAATAGCTGCTGCCTGCACCGTCCCGGGGCTGGTCCTGCCTTCGCCTTCTGAATTTATTTTGTTCTGTTACTGCATGAACTGCGCCCGTGACAGTGAAGGAAAACACTGTGTCCAAGGGTATAATCCCACTGCTCTGAGGAATAATGCTGCGAGCCCGGGCACTGAAGGCAAACCCACATTACCCACCGCATGCTCTGCAGCGGGGAAGCGCAAAGCAAAATAAAACCAAAACCAGTGTGCGGGAAAACAGCCTGATTTCTCTTCAGCCTGACTCTAACAGCAGCCGGGGCACAGGGCCCCACTCCTGCTGGGCAGGAGACCCCAACCCCATCCCCGTCCCCTGAGCCCGCCCGGTACCAGCCGCTGGGACTTGAAGCACAGCAGAGAGAGCAGACAGGCTTTCGAGGCTCATCTTCTACAATTGGCCTGTCCACTTTTCTCAGCAAGTATTTCTAATATTAAAATAGTAACATTGCTACCAGTATGCTTCCCCCCTTCTGCATACGGCTGGGTAAAAACGCTCAGAAAATGTTGCTTATCTGCTTGCTACCTGGCAGGGGGACATGCCAAGGGGACGCTGGGCTCCTCCTCTTTGGGATGGGATGGGGATGAGCCAGTTCTCAGTACCAGGGAAAGCCTGGCTTTAGGTAACAGAAAAGGCCATATTTGTCAAATCTTCTCCCTTGCTTAAGAATAAAATCAAATGGCTTTGAGGAAAGCATGCCAGCTCTCCAGCAAACGAGAGTTAAATATTTGCAAAATTAGTCCAGCAATTTCAGCGCAGAACTGTAGCGGGGAAAGCGGCTCCAGGTGAGGGTGCTCCGCGCTGCCAGAGCCGGCGGGAAGATGTCCCTCCTCGGGGAGCACCTGCAGATCAAAGCTGCCGCCACAAACACCTGCAGCTCCGACGGGGAGGCCACTGCGCCGAGGCCGAGCCTCCGCGCGGGATGCTGCGAGCTTCATCTGCACGGGATGCTGCGAGCTGCCTCCGTGCAGGATGCAGGCACGCCAGCGACCCAGCTGGGCATCTCCCCCTCCGGTCCTGAGCCCCCGACTCCGTATCCCCCACCTGCCCCTGCTCCTCAATGGGGTCCGAGCCCTGCAAGGTGCCCGGGGGCAGGGGGTGCGCGCCCGAGGAAGCCCTCTCCTGCGTGGGAAGCGAGAGGGAAGGGGCCTCGTGCCCTCGCGCCCGCCCCGGGGATGAGCTGGCAGCTCCCAGCCGAGCACCACCAAAGTGAAGCCACCTCCTCTGTCTAAGGCACGCCCAGGGACTCACCTAATAGAGAAATAAAATATTACCAAGAGGCCCCCAAATGGCTTTTCCCTTTTTGACAGCGATGCGCTGGGCAAGGCTGGCAAAGGAAAGGGGGGTCACTTCAGACAGTGGGCATAAAAGTCCTTCTTTTCCTCTTTTTGCAGATATTCCTAATTAACATCTATGAAATTGATTTATTTGACTTTTTTCTCCCTTCCTCCAAATGTCGTATGTTCGTCACTTTTAAAAAAAAATTTTATTCTAAAAAGGCAGGACAGAGGGAACGTGCATTGCACCTCACTGAAGACTAACTCCCAGACTGACCATCTAACCTCCGCCGGGCTGGCAAGGGCTGACGTTTCCCTTCCCACGGATGACCACCCCTCTCAGATGACCCACGGCAGGCGAGCTCAGCCATCGCCACGGGACGGGTGTCACCACCGCACGGCTCACGTAACCACCAGGCTTGTCGGCAGCCTCAGCCAAAAAGCGAAGGGCTAAGCCGACAGAGGCTGCGTCGTCCGCCCCGCTTATCTAAAGAGCCTCTCAGCTGGGGACTCAGCCCATGAACGATGGCACGGGCGGGTCTGCCCGTGCCATACCCGGACACCAGCACTGAGCCCACCACGTGCACCACTTTCTGCACCGCGCTACGTAAATAAACAAATGAAGCCCCTGAAGACAAAAGCCTGATGAGCAAGCCCAAAACTACCCATGCTGACTGGAGAAGGACCAAGCAACCACTGAAAGAGAGCAGAAAACCCAAGGAGAGAGACCGTCCATTACCAGAGTAGCCTCCCGAGGACTTGATGTACATCTGCCCGTACTGCTCCTCCACCATGGTGTCGTACGCCTCGTCGTCCTCCTCGTCCTCCTCGTTGTGGTAGGAGGTGGGGCTGTCAGTGGTGGGAATGCTGCTGGCGCCGGGGCTCCTCCGCTCCCCCTGCGAGTACTGGACCTGCTGGACATTGGGGATGAGGGTGGCCAGGTTGGGCATCCCATAGTAGGAGACGCGGGACAGCTTCAGGGGACCGGTGTTGGGGCCGCCGCCGCCA